GGCTGGATACGGACTGGATCCTACAGACTGGATCTGGTGGCTATGGTGACCTCGGAATAAGAAAGAAATATTACTAATATTAGCGTAGATGCCATTCTTCTAACGATGTAGCAAGTACATCGGGTTTTATGGGAAGTGTTCCCGGTTCCGGTTGTCCTAATTAATGCAGCCTAAAAATCCTTTAACGGATTTGAATATTAGAAATGTGTTAGTGTGTTATGTGTAAGCCAGGTTAAAGAGATGGGTCTTTAATCTAGATTTAAACTGACAGAGTGTGTCTGCCTCCCGAACAATGTTTGGTAGGTTATTCCAGAGTTTGGGCGCTAAAAAGGAGAAGGATCTGCCGCCCGCAGTTGATTTTGATATTCTAGGTATTATTTTGAGAGTTTTGAGAACAGAGACGTTAAGAGTTCTTAAACTCTTTATTATTATATTATATTATAAGCATACTATTTATTTGCACATTTTTGTTTGTTGATAGATCTGCTGTGATGGAAGCATGCAGTTATTTTAAGGTTTTAAGAATTTTGTGTTATAGTCAATGTTTAACACCATTTACAGTGTACATGGACTGTGTTTAATACATTTTTAAATATATATTTACAATTTTAAACTACTGTTCCAAAGTTTGGGGTCATTCAATTTTTTAAAAGTCTTTGAAAGGAGTCTATAAATGCTCTTAAATATTATAACGATTTTTTATATTTCTAATTCAATATACTTTAAAATGTAATTTATTCCTGTGATGGCAAAGCTGAATTTTTTTTAGCATCATTACTCTCTTCAGTGTCACATGATCCTTCAGAAGTCATTCTAAAATGCTGATTTCGTGCTCAAGAAACATTTCTTATTATCAGTGTTAAAAATAGTGCTGATTAATATTTTTGTAGAAACAGTGATGCATTTTTCTTTGATGAATAGAAAGTTTAAAAGAACAGCATTTATTTGAAATGAAAGTTTTTTGTAATAATGTCTTTACTGTCACTTTGGATCAATTTGTTGCATTCTTGCTAAATTGTTTTCTTAAAAAAAAAAAAAAAAATATATATATATATGATTACTGATGTATATCATATATATGTCTGTTTATGTCTGTCCAGGGCTACATGGTGGAGTTAACGTCTCATCAGGGCAGCGTGGGCCGGGTTCTCAAAGCAGGAAGTGTGTTGTTGTCTGGAGGGCAGCTGACTGATGATGAAGAGAGGGAGGTGCGGGAACAGATGAATCTGCTCAACTCTCGCTGGGAACATCTGCGTGTGGCCAGTATGGAGAGACAGAGCAGGTGGTCACATGTTTGCACGATAAGCCTTTAGCCAAGAATATAAACCTGTCACTTTTTACAGAAAGACCTTTGCTATTTACAACGTTCATATAACTGATGTTTTGGAACATTTGTAGGCTTCATGAGGTTTTGATGGACCTGCAGCACCAGCAGCTGAAGCAGCTCTCTGATTGGCTGGACACAACTGAAACTCGAATTAAAAGAATGGGAGCACAGCCTTTAGGACCCGAACTTGATGACATAAAGCGACAAATTGAAGAGCAAAAAGTATGTTCTGTAATTTTTTGTGGTTTATTGATAATCAAAAAACAAATAAGTAAAGACACAATTGTCCCTACAGCTCTTACAGGAAGATCTGGAGCTGGAGCAAGGGCGAGTGAACTCTCTGACTCATATGGTGGTGGTAGTAGATGAGAACAGTGGTGATGGCGCCACCGCAGCCTTAGAGGAAAAACTGCAGGTAAATGTTGTCATTGATTTGCCAAAGCAGAACAGTGTTATGCCTCGATCACACCGAATGCATTTTTTAAGTCTGAAAACGCGAGGTGCACCGCACTGCCTTTTTTTGGTGACTTTTAAAAAGAGCGCAGTGCGCTGCATTTTTTATGTTGCTAGGCAACCACCAAATCAACTGCCCTGTCAGTCTAATCAAAGGATTATAGCACGAGCGCTCTAAAATCTTTGGTTTTTGCTGTTAAGTAAACTGTTATATTAGCAGAAACCTTAAAAAATACAGCTCCGGGTAACCCGCGACAGACACCAAAAGTTTCTCCTCCATCATTGCAGTCTATGGCCTTTCTAAGCAACGGTAAACTTTCGTCACCACAACGGAAGGCCCACCTCTCCATTCATTCGATTGGACAATGGGGGAAAAAAAACGTTGGGCGCAGAATGACGTCGGGCGCTTTTCCGCTCAGAGTTGCTTTTTTTTGAACCACAGGCGCTCAGAGCGCTCCTGCAAAAACGTGAGGCGCAGCAGGCGTCTAAAATGTGAGGCGCCCGGGGCGCATAAACAGCATGCAAAACGCTCACTGCCAACAGAAAACAATTCAAAAAAGGCACCTCTCACTGCAAAAAATGCGTTCTGTCTGATCGGGGGCCTTAGGATTAATATTCTATAATAAACCAAACCATGCCTGGTTAAGTTCATGCTGTTAATGTCTGCGATTGACATCCACATTTATTTTGAGGTGTAAGTCTCGAAAAGTTCTGTTCACACAGCAGTTTACAACAGATTCTTGAATACTGTCTGTATGAACGTGCAACTGAAGTCAAGCCTGTATTCTTTTTGACACTTTCACCTATAAGCATAGTAATAATGACTAAAGTAAATACCAATGAATCTGAAAGCTGAATAAATAAGCTTTTCATTGATGTATGGTTTGTTGGGATAGGACAATATTTGGCTGAAATACAACTATTTGAAAATCTGGAATCTGAGGGTGAAAAAATAAATCTAAATATTGGGAAAATCGCCTTTAAAGTTGTCCAAATGAAGTTCTTAGCAATGCATATTACTAATCAAAAATTAAGTTTTGATATATTTACGGTAGGAAAGCAACGCAACTGAAATGTTCCCAAGTCCAGAAACGTTTCTTAATTTGTGTTCCGAAGGTGAACGAAGGTCTTACGGGTTTGAAACGACATGAGGGTGAGTAATTAATGACAGAATTTTCATTTTTATTTTGACCCATACAATGTTATTGCTGGCTATTGCTACAAATATACCCATGCTACTTATGACTGGTTTTGTGGTCCAGGGTCACAATTAAGTGACAACAGCTTTTATACCACAGAGAGGCTCTTTCACACTGTATAATGTAACAGACAACCAAGTGTGGTTATAGAATGCAGTTGCCACTCCTGTAAATAACAAAAATGTGTCTGAATGAAACTCCATTAATTACTCAAATACAGGCCTGACAACAATAATCTGCTACTGTGACCTTTGTAACCATAACCACAGCCCTAAGGTCTGACCGGTTGTTTGGACCAAATAACTGTGATATAATGTTTTGTTTACTTGAATCGTTTTTCCATAACACCCCCACTTTACTTACACAGAACCTTGGGGAACGATGGGCAGCGATCTGCAAATGGACTGAAGAGCGTTGGATCCTTCTTCAAAAGATCCTGCTGTGCTGGCAGCATTTCTCTGAGGAGCAGGTACTGAATCCTTCCAGACCGTGCTGAAAAAGCTTTTACAATGCATTTAGCAGCTCTCAAAATGCCTTTTGAATCCTGCCTGTTAAATGACTATAATGAGAGCATGTCTGGGGAACATAAAGGTTTTGAAGACCTCTTTTCTCAAGAGAGTCAGTGCGATAACATCACCAGTGCTCAAAAGAAACAGGAAAAGCAGCAGTGCAGAACACATCTCACAATCTCCCTTTAATCCGCTGTGCTTGTTTTATAGCTGCTGTTTGATTCTTGGCTGACTCAGAAGGAGGAGTTAGTGCAGACTATCCAAAACAGCGGCACAAATGACCCAAATGAAGTGGCCGCCAACCTAAGGAAGCTCGCCGTAAGTGGCCACACATAATCCAAACTCACTGAAGCATTAAAGTCAACCCTACTTTGCACGATTAACAAACAAGTCCTGATAAAGTCAAGTGTTTTGAATTTTTTTCCCCTTTTTGAATATGCTGCATGACATGTAAAATTTTCATGTTACAGAAGTAAAATGGGTTTCGAATGACGTTTTATGTTGAAATCCTTTGTAATGGGTTTGAAATCAGGCCTTTTTAGTGATGCAACACAATTCCCAGCTAGCATTAGATATTATGTAGTTCTGTTTTTCAAAGTTCTCATTGGTTGGCTGACTTTGAAGGTATAGTCTAACCAAAAATGAAAATTTTGTCATAACTTGCTCCCCTTCATGTCGTTTCAAACTTGTACGACTTTCTTTTTTCTGTGGAACAAGATACTTTGAAAAATGAGTGGTAGCAAGATGGTTTTAGGTCACACTGACTTCCATAGTATAGACAAAAAATAAAATGGAGGCCCCTTCATTACTATTGCTATATCTTATGCCACACATTATGTTCTCACGAAGTGAAAAATACATCGTGGAGCAAAGAGGAAACTGACAACACGCCGACAGACAAGACAGAGCAGGTTACTTTTGCTGTGAAACAAAGTCTAAGCTTGAATATTTTGACATTTTTAAAGAAATTCTAACTATAAATACCGTTTTGTGGCTCTTTAATGTATCGTGACAGATCACTGTAGCGCCTGAGTTCAAGCGGCACGTGAACCGATCATCTCTTCCTCTTTACTAGTTATAGCACAAAATAAACATGAATGAACAACAGAAGGTATCTTGTTTCAACCGTGAAAAGATGTCAATACACACCATTTTTCAAGTTCAAGGCCACCGACGTTAGTCTACTCTCCGGTTTGGTTTGTTTGTCGAACAAAAATGGCAGATTCGGCATTATGATTGGTTAGATCGCCTGTCAATCAAACTCCCTGCGAAGGGTCAATTGTTTAGTTGCCAACATTCTTCAAACTATCTTCTTTTGTGTTGTTCGGAATGACATGAGGGTGAGTAAATGATGACAGAATTTTTGACCCGGACTTTTCCTTTAAGAATAGATTTCAGAACTTAAAAGCTGTCCCCTGAATTTCGTTCCTCAGATTTTAAAAGCAGACCTGGAGTTGAAAAGACAGACAAGACAGAGCAGGTTACTTTTGCTGTGAAACAAAGTCTAAGCTTGAATATTTTGACATTTTTAAAGAAATTCTAACTATAAATACCGTTTTGTGGCTCTTTAATGTATCGTGACAGATCACTGTAGCGCCTGAGTTCAAGCGGCACGTGAACCGATCATCTCTTCCTCTTTACTAGTTATAGCACAAAATAAACATGAATGAACAACAGAAAGTATCTTGTTTCAACCGTGAAAAGATGTCAATACACACCATTTTTCAAGTTCAAGGCCACCGACGTTAGTCTACTCTCCGGTTTGGTTTGTTTGTCGAACAAAAATGGCAGATTCGGCATTATGATTGGTTAGATCGCCTGTCAATCAAACTCCCTGCGAAGGGTCAATTGTTTAGTTGCCAACATTCTTCAAACTATCTTCTTTTGTGTTGTTCGGAATGACATGAGGGTGAGTAAATGATGACAGAATTTTTGACCCGGACTTTTCCTTTAAGAATAGATTTCAGAACTTAAAAGCTGTCCCCTGAATTTCGTTCCTCAGATTTTAAAAGCAGACCTGGAGTTGAAAAGGCAAACCATGGATAAGCTTTGCTCCCTCGTTCAAGATTTGCTGACCAACATTAAGAGCAAAGAGGCCGCTGGGAAACTAGAGGCAAAGCTGGAGAGGTTTGCTCAGCGCTGGGACAAATTGGTACAGTCGCTTCAGCTCACCAGCACCAAGGTGGTTATGCTAATGCGATTCCATTTACTGTGTCTCATCTTTTCCGCAATACTGTTCCATCTATTTCCATTTCTCTCAGAATTTGATATGGCTTCCTGCATGGCCGTGCCATCACTCAGAATAAATAAAGCGCTCTCACTGTATCTCACTCTCTCTTTCATATGCACTCAAGAATCAGTCTTCTATACATTTACACATACGTGTCTTACAACTTTTGTCTCGCTTAGTTTTCAACTATTGTCACTACATCCCAGTCGGAGCTCACGCATACAACCATGGCAACTGTCACCAAGGTGACCACAAACCAGAAAAAGATGGTGAAGCATACTAAGGAGGGCATGTCTACCCCTCCACCTCAGAAGAAGCGACAGATTGTCACTGATTCAGAACTGCGGAAAAGGTGAGCTTATGCACCTCGGTTTTGTCACAGGTCACTAAATGTGTAGGACCCATTTATGACAACCAAAGCTTTGCTTTGGGGTTTTCTGTTCCTGAGTTTAATTTTTTTTTTACTATTAATGACATTAATGATTTCAAGAAGCACATTTTATCCATCCATTTTTCAAATTTTTTATTAATGTAATACTTTTAGTAATAATTTTATATAACTAGATTTAAGGTTAAATAATTGCTAAAAAATAATCAAACTAATACAAACAGATCTTACTACATATGTTTTTTTTGACATAAAACAGTGTTTTTAAAGCGTGGTTTGCACAATGCAATCTATTTGGTCACTCAGTATGACCATTATGTTATAAAAAAAATGGACCCATTTGTATACATTTCCTGAATGAAACAAGTCTAATTCTTGAGAAAAAATTATCACCACTTTTTCACATGACACAGACACTTCATATTTGAAGTGAAATATATCTTGTTTTTTATTCTTTATTTCTCAAGGGAATTTTTTGTTGTATTGCATACAACATATTTTTGCTGTAAAACGGGACAGAGATACTGATGAAGGTTTTTTTTTTGTTTTTTTTGCAGTGTAGGCTTTTTCATCTAAATAAGCTCTTTTGCTTTTTGGCTGCATGAGTTAAACTGCACTTTTGAGTTTAGAAATGATGCTGAAACACAAAGCCTGCAGTGAGGGGAAAATGCTAATCAATGCCCGAGTCCCAACAATATTCAAATGACTAACAAACAAGCAAGAATAACTAATTTGTTTTGCTGTTCTCTCATCAATTTCCCTGCAGATTTGATGTGGACTTCACTGAAATTCACAGTTTTATGACTCGTTCAGAGGCTGTTTTGCAAAATCCAGAGTTCTCAATCTCCCGTAAGGAAGGCAGTGTGGCAGACCTCTATGAGAAAGTGCTGGTAGGGCTACATTAACATGTTCATTTCATATTAGACTGCAAAATGTATTATATTACTTTAGAAAGTTTTGAACTTTAATAATATATTAATATTAATTAATATATTTTAATTATTATATTTAATTTATACAAAGTGTAATAGTTATATATAAACTCAATTATTAGAACACGTTAATGCTTTATAAAATGTGTTTCATTGGTGTTTACTGTGTGCATCTTTCAACCATTTTTGAGGCAATTGACAGGGAAAAAACTGAAAAGTTCAGGAAGTTACAAGAAGCCACTCGTTCAGCCCAGGCTTTGGTGGATCAGCTCACTAGCGGTATGCATGAATTCTAAATGATTCTTTTCATATGCACATTCATTTCAGTCCAAATGTCTTGTAAACGCCCCTTGATTTTCAATCAGTCTAGCATAATTCAAAACTTGCCCTTGTTGTCTTTTTAAAAGACACACAAATATCCCCCATCTTATTTGGAAAGTAATAAGCTGCATTTTGCTGCTAATTAAAGTAATAAAATCCTGCATAATGTCAGCTCTATTAATAATAGATAGAGATGTACATTGATGGGACGTTTCCCAGCTATTTTGAAAGTCTAAAGCCTTTGCCAGCTTAATTGCCTCAAATGCTGTTTCAATATGCATGAGTCTCATTTGTCCTAATGGATCTTTCTCTAAAGATGGTCAGAATTCCGAGGACATCCAGCAGGCGGCTCAGCAGTTACGTGCTCGATGGGTCGACTTCTGCGCTCTCCTGGCCGAAAGGCTGGCATGGTTGGCATACCAGACCAAAGTCCTGGCCTTCTACAATCTCTTCCAGCAACTGGAGCAGGCTGTGGGAACCGCTGAGAACTGGCTGAAGGTGCAGTCGCCGCCCGCGTGCGAGCCGGAGCCTCTGAGGATTCAGCTGGAGCGTTGCAGGGTAACCACCAGTGTCTGTCCTCGTGCATGGGGTCTTGTTCCTTTGTGGATTTGTGTTTCAATGTGTATGTGTTCTGTGTCCATATACAGGGCAAAGTCTGTCTTTTCCTGTGTCTGGCCAGGTAATGCCCTTTACCCACTGCATGCGTTCATCTGATCTCATGCAGAAAACAAAACCAAAAAAAAAAAATGCTATGATGCATTCATGCAGGACATTTTATCATCCCCAACAAGACAAATAACCTTCATTTTTTTTTTCTTGATCTTTTGAGATAAAAGAGCTTGATTTACTTTGAAAACATACTATAACTTTCAGAACCTCCTCCACAACCCTATATGCATGTCCTTCCAAAGGTTCCCAAGATTAGAAATTAGTTTTTTTTTAACAAGGGCCCTGAAGTTTTTTTTTTTTTTTTGGCACAACAACTACAACCACAGAAAATAGCAATAAATTATAAATAATAAATAATGTAAAATACAATGTATATATATAATGTAAAATCTACTCACCCTCAGACCATATAAGATGTAGATGAGTTTGTTTCTTCATCAGAACAGATTGGAGAAATTTAGCATTACATCACTTGCCGTCAGAATGAGAGTTTAAACAGCTGAAAAAAAAAGAATCCACATCTAATCCACATCATTCTAACAATTAAAGGGGTCATATGAAGCGATTTCAATTTTTCCTTTCCCTTTGGAGTGTTACAAGCTCTTGGTGCATAAAGAAGATCTGTAAAGTTACAAAGACTAAAGTCTCAAATCCAAAGAGATATTCTTTATAAAAGTTAAGAGTCAACCACGCCTACCTAAAACGGCTCATTCTAACACGCCCCCACATGTCTACGTCACGATGTGGGAAGATTTGCAAAACGCCGACCAAATGTTCACGCAAAGAAAGAAGGCGTAACTTTTATTTTCGCTGTAGTATTGTTGCCACCGCCGCCATGTTGTGGAGACGCTGTGTGTTTCGTTGTGAAAGCGAAACTACTTTGTTTGGCCTTCCAAAAGAGGACGATATCCGCTTCGTCATGCCTAGAGCTGATCCGTGCTGGTCGCTGAGGAAATACATCAACTTCGCGCTGTGGATCGCCGGATCGGCTTTCACCGAGAACGAAGTGGACGTCACATGTGGTTGCCGCAAGCCCGCTGGCCGCTCTTTCGTCGAATCCGCCGGCCTCCGCTCACTCAAGCACGCCGTGTGTCTTCCAAAAGAGGACACAACTAGAAATCAGTGGTTAAGTTGTATTTACAACACTGTTCCAGAACAGTTCAACCCAAATATCCAGATGTGTGCAGTAAAAAGACAGTATAAGTCATTATAATCAGTAATTATGTCCCCACTGGATGCAACAAATGCCGCGTTTGTAATGGGTTTTAATGTTTTTGTCTCGTCGCTCCGGCCGGACACGGCATCAACAGTATGGTGAGGGGCGTAACATTTCCGTCACACGCTTGAGGTATTCGACCAATCACAACGCACTGGATAGCTGGCCAATCAACGTATACCTCGCTTTTCAGACCGATGAGCTTTGTAAAAATCGACGCGCTTCAAAAAGGCGGGGCATAGAGGAGAAACAATAATGTACAGTACGTGGAAAATAATGTGTTTTTTACATAAGTCATTATAATCAGTAATTATGTCCCCACTGGATGCAACAAATGCCTCGTTTGTAATGGGTTTTATCGGTGTTGTCTCATCGCGCCGGGACACGGCATCACAGTATGGTAAGGGGCGTAACATTTCCGTCACACGCTTGCACGCTTGAGGTATTCAGCCAATCACAACGCACTGGATACCTGGCCAATCAGCGTACACTTTGCTTTTCAGAACGATGAGCTTTGTACAAATCGATGCGTTTCAAAAAGGCGGGGCATAGAGGAGAAACAATAATGTACATTATGCGAAAAATAATGTGTTTTTGAACCTTAAACCGCATAAACACATTGCATTACACTAAATACACAACATTTTAACAACGTCATATAACCCCTTTAACCGTTTGACAGCACTAGTTTATATCTACCTTGTAAATATAGGTTTTGCTAATTTTTTAAAACTTTTTAAGAAGTAAATCAATAACAATTACAATTTTAACAATATTTCAAGAGTGATTTATGAGATGTGTCACAGCCTGTAAGTACGTTTTTTTATATTTAAAGAATTTGCCACTGGCGATTCAAACGTGAGTTTTGAGCAGTGTAGAGTAGCGCTTGTTGTTTGTCATTTCTCCGATCACAAATGCAGACATGGTTTCGCGATACGCAACACAACGTAAAAAGACAGTATAAGACATAAGTCATTATAATCAGTAATTATGTCCCCACTGGATGCAACAAATGCCTCGTTTGTAATGGGTTTTATCGGTGTTGTCTCATCGCGCCGGGACACGGCATCACAGTATGGTAAGGGGCGTAACATTTC